GGGCTTTAATTTTAGGTTTTCTTGTCTCAGTTGATTCATACATGAACTTGCAGGTAACTCCACAAATTTGAATTTTAATTTGATCTCCATTCAGACCTATAGTTGCTAGTTCAAGTCTTTGTGAAAATTATAATGTGGCATGATCTGGGTATGGGTAAGAGGTCTTTTCTGTCGTGGACGTGTTCACATTTCTGATACTTCTAGTGTGTGGATACATGAAAAATGCATAATATTTATCATTTAGAGATTAAGACTCCGCTGAAAAGAATTTATAAATAGATAGAAATGAGTGGTTGACAAGTGGATAGTATTTGTGGGCCATTGGAATGTGTGAATAGAAATGAAGTTTGACTAATTTATAAATGATTTATAAGTTTGCCAAATGATGGCTAATTCTTTTCATGCTGTAATGCGGTAAAACATTTTTTCTTCTAACTTCCAGTGTATAAACAGGTAAACTAACATCATTTTAAGGGAGTTAAGGAAGGGGTTTATGCAAAATATCAGACACAGAATGCAACCTACCCCGAGTTTGTTAAGAACGCGGTTTGTTCTTTGTTGTTGTGTGATATCTATAGAGACGTTATTAGGTTTTGCCAATATGACATTGTTCTATTAAGGTTTCTTTTGATGAACATGTTTATGCAAGCAGCCAGAGTGGCTGAAGGGAGAGGGTGGGGTGTCAAAATAAACTGTCTTAGGCCCCCTCTTAGAGAAAGGCTGTATATACAAACAACCACTGAAATAAAAAATAAAAGATGTTTATAAAAGAGAGAGACAGAGAGCTCTCTCCGATTTGTTAAGGGTTCTATTCTTATAATCAATTATATCTGTGATTATTGGATTTTTTTTTTTTGGCAGCTTGCAAATGCTGAAGAATACATTGATGGACAATTCAGTGGAAGTCTTGGAGAGATCTTGATCAGGTACTCACCATCAGCTGCTGATGTAAAATTTTTCCCCTACAAAATCGTCCATCATTTTTTGTATATATATATAGTCTTTTAGCAATGAGTGTGACCGTTTTATCTGTACAGTCGGAAAAGTTGGTTTATTTCCTCAAATTTACCATTGCTTCCACTGTTCTTATGATAGCTAGACAACTTAGAAGTGTTTTCTGTATTTCAAACCAGTTACCATATCTACTTTGAATTGCTTTTGCAGATGTAACAACGTGCTTTATCTTCGTGGGGTGCCAGAGGATGAAGAAATAGAAGAAGCAGATCGTGACTAGTTGCCTCTGTGGCAGCAATAGTGTGATAATCTGCCCAAGGAATTCCGAAATTCTGTTCTGCTCTGCTTCTGTGAAATCTCAGAATTACCCTCGTATATGTATCGTTGTTAAAAATACTATTATCTAGTGGACATGCCATCTTGTGGATTCAGTGGATCATACTGCATTTTTATATATGATACTGGGATTATGCCATTAATTCCAATTTAAATTTGAGTGGAAGTGGGATTGGCACTCGTTGATGATAGTCTGTTTGGTTTGGTTTAAAATAAGAGTTTTAGTAGATTTTGATAAAAAATATTGATGGAATGTGCAGTTGAAAATTTGATAAAAGACGTGGATTTCATAAAATGTGATTGAAAATGAGTTTGAGGAAAAACGAGCTTTAAAGGATTGACGCTAAACAAAGGCTTTGAACATGTTTGGTTTGGTTTTACAAAATAAGTTGTATGAAATTAACTTTTACTTAGGTCCTGTTTGTTTCTGGTTAAAATCAGATTTTAATTTAAGTCAAAGTTAAGTAATCAGTCTTAATCACATTTTTCATGGGTTCCCTATCTTTTCAACCACACATTTTAAAATTTTCTATTTATATATATAAATTAAGTACTTACAAGTAACTTTTCAAACTAAAAATAAAAATAAACAATATATTTTATTGATGAAAGCTAGAAATAATCTACAAATAATTAATAAAGAGCAGTCAAATAAAGGATAATAACTGTCCAATGGCCAATAATTTTAGGGTTGGACATGATCAAGTTCGATTCTAATTTTCGGTTCTCGTTAGAATCGAACAAAATTCAAATTTTCAGGTATTTAATAAGTGGAACCGTCCTATCCAAATTTAATTATAGAACGATTCGGGGTTCGATTCTCGAGTTCTGTACAATAATTAATTTTTTTTTTAACATTTTACAACAACGTTCATTAATTCAACTAATGACATTCAATTTTAACTATAATAAAATAACGTAATCCAAACCCAAAGATATCTTTTACTCATCTTTGTTGAGTTTTTCATAGATTTGGCTGTTAAAATTACAGGAATAAGAAAATAGCGAGCTCACAATAATGAAGAAAAGCTCAACCGAGCTTTCAATTCGATTTCTCCAGAACAGCATTATGGTAGAATAAGAGATTTAGGCTTGGACTAAATTAATAGTTAGCAAATTTATTTAGAAAAATAAAATAATTTGATCTATTTAAAATTAAAAAAATTAAGGAGATTCGATTCTAATTCGATTCTTCGATTTTTGGTCTAAAACGATAACCGAACTAAGGGTGTGTTTGACACCTATTTTGGAAAAAAAAAATGATTTGGAATAATGATTTATGGAAGAATGTGTGGTTAAAAAGGAAGGAGAATATTTGAGTTTATGTGTAATATTATTTTATTGATAGAATATGTGGTTGAAATGAAGAAAGAGAAAAAAAATGAGAATATGAATGGAAAAAAAAATGGATGTCAAACAAGGGCTAAATCCGTCGATACTCGATTCAGATACTTGTTAGGGTATTTAACTTAAGAAGAGTCACTCGATTTGGTTCGAGTTCGAGTTTGGTTCGGTCAATTTGATTCGAGAGTTTTGTCCAACACTAAATAATTTTGAAATTTTTACTTACAAGTGAATTGAATTATATTTGACTGAGTTCTAATACATGTTTGGTGCACATTATGAAACCAATAATGCATTTTTTTTTTATGATGTAATGGAAAATATGTTGTTGAAAAAGAAGGAAAAGTTATTAATGTGATGAAAAATATTATTTTATTAAAGAATGTGTTGTTGAAAATGAGTAAAAGAATGAGAATAAAAAAAATAATGTTGACCAAATATGGGCTCAATTGTATTTTATTGAACAAATTTGAAAATAAGTAATACATAAAATCAGAAATAAGCTAATTGTAAGTGTTTAGATGCACCGAATTACTTTACATTTTTCAAATTTTGACTGGTAAGAGTTATTTTTTATAAAATAAGTTTTTTCTTTTTACTTAAAAAGTAACCTCTCTCTCTCTCTCTCAAGGTTAGCCATGACAACATTCCTCACTTCCAGGCCACGGAATATCTTGGGTGGAAATTATTATTGATTTTTCATAGTCGATGGCCCGAGAGAAAATGCCAGAAAACTACACAGAGAAGAGCAGCAACAAAAACCGATGACGGCGGCGCTTCCACCCCCAACACTAATATCACTGCCTACCAATATCATCTCTACCACCAGCGCCACCAGACAGCAGCCGCAAATATGTCTTTCCCTCTCCGTTCATAGCCACAAATTTGACTTTCAAGATAATAAATCCACCCAATATATTGGTGGTGCCAGTGCACTCAATTCCAATAAACTACAGCAAAACACCTCAACAAGTCAAGACCAAAGGAAAGAAAACAACAAAATCAAGAACCTAAAGACGAACAAAAGAGGCAGCTGATTGGTGCTGATGTATTATGGGCATTAGAAAGAGCTACTGCTCAGAAATACAAGAAAAAGAAAGACAAAAGGGACACCATATCTAGAGATGAAAAAATTGTAGGAAGAGAAATCGAAGGGACCGTAAATTACAGTAGAGTAACTAGAGTTAAGAGTCTTAGACCCTTGTACGTCAAAAGTGAATGGAGTGGCCGGTTGGAGGAATTGGAGAGGCAACTTCAGGAGCTAATAGATACCTAGGATTGTTTGAATTGTTTTCAGAGGTAAAACTGTTCTTCATCTTCGCATAGGATGAAGAAATAGAAGAAGAAGATTGTGACTAGGTGCCTTTTGGTTGTACTAGTATCACTATCTGCTCTATGAATTCTTATCTTCCATTTTGATGTGCTTCTAATATATTTGCAAGATGACATGATGTATTTGTGCCATTGCTAGGAGTAGTATTACTTATTGCACATGCCACCTTTGTCATGTATAACCAGCGATTCAGTTTATGGAATACTGCTTTGTTTTGATTATTGGGCTGTGTTAATTTGATATATTTTGACTATCTGTTACATTATATCCAACACGCCTCTTGTTATTTATTGGCTCAATTTCATTTCTTAGATAATTTTGATTGTGAATATATCGCATACCCTATTGCCTCTTCATTCAGAGTGTGTTCCCTTTCTAGATGTTTTTGACATTATAATACTTGCTCTCTTATGCTAATTGACGTGGAATTTATGATACATACGCATTCTTTCATGTCTATTTGACATGGCATTTGTACAGATTGGTTCCAATTATGTATCGTCACGAGATTACATGTATATTAGTTGCCTGTCAAAATTCTTTTCTTCAACCCAGCAACCTTGGGGATGTGATGGCATTTGATGTGATTAAGTATTGGAGACTCGGCGACCTTAGTAGACTCAGATGAAGTGAGTTTTTTGTGGGTTTAAAAACTGTGCTGTATGGTTGGATAGGAGAAGTTCTGTGTGTCTTTTTTTGTGAAATATGAAGCAAACAAGATTTCAAGGTTAGTTGGGAGAAATCCTATACTAAGTCTTGCATTTTACTGTTGTGGTTCTTTTCTCGTGGGGGAGGGGTGTTTGCCTTCTCTGTAGATATTGATTACGTCGAAGTTTCTAATACCCGTGCTAAAAGGAATGCTGCAAATGATTGCTTAGAAAACAATGTAATTCCACCAATGCTTCTATTTCTTAAAATGCTTAAAAGCCAAAATGTTCTAGTTTTTATTTTTGTGAACGTTGTAAACTCAGTGCAGTGTTATAGATAACATAACACCACCCGAGTTTTTACTTCTGGGCCATGTAAAATCCATTCATAATTTAGAGAGCACTCCTTGGTTGCTTTGTAACAGTTCCCTCCGCAGAATTTTACCTGCAGCAGACCTTGGTATGGCACTGATAAATCTCACCCTCCTAATTTTCTTGTACGAGGCTACCTGAAGATTTTCCAAAGTAACATTGAGAATGCTATGGCAGAGCAAGGGATAACTTGCAGAAGAATCTTGTGCGTGCGCATGTGTGATGGGGGCAGGGGGTAGGTAGATAATGGGTGTACATACCTGCTCGGCAACAAATTGGATAACCTGATCTTCAGTTAGGTCAGAACCAGAAGCTTTCACCACATATGCCATGGGTATTTGTCCTGTTTCTTCATCTTCAACCCTGCACAGTTCCATTATTTCGTTAAACACCAGAGTATTTGATGGGGATTAGGGTTCTGTTGTTTATGAAAGATATATCAGGCAACGCACGGTATAACTGCTGCGTCGAGTATAAGGGGATGACTTAATAATATTGCTTCCAGCTCTGCTGGAGCCACCTGCAGTTGCATTCATTTCAGCTTGTAAGTCACTCCAAGTATTCATCCTTGTAGTTTTTAAACATATACAAGACATGAGAAATTACTGTACCTGGTAACCTTTATGCTTGATCAACTCCTTTATTCTATCGACTATGTACAGGTACCCATCTCCATCAATATAACAAAGATCACCAGTTTTGAGCCATCCGTCCGAGTAGAACGTAGCAGCAGTTGCTTCCTCATTTCCCAGGTATTCTTTCATTATGGTAGGGCTTTTCAGCCAGAGTTCTCCTTGCTTATATGGCGGCAAAGTCAATCCCGTCTCAACATCCACCACCTTGGCACTGAAACATGGAACCAATCTCCCGGACGAGGCTGAACGAGCCTTCGCTTGGTTGTTGGAAACAAAGTAAGTTGCTCCACCAGTGCTCTCTGTCAGCCCATAGCCTGGTCTTAGCTCGACCCAAGGAAACTTCTCTCTGAACCCATCTGCCACCTCTTTGCTCAATGGAGCAGCCCCCGAGCCCAGTCTGCGTAACGAGGACAAGTCATATGCCCCTCCGGGATACTTCACCAGCCCGAGTATCACTGGGGGAACGGCTGGAATGTTGTTGATCTTGTAGTTCTGAATAGCTTTGAGCATGTTTTGGAAATCAAATCTTTGCATGATAACAATTGTTGTGCCTGAACAGAACATTCCAAGGGCAAAAAATGCTAGACCGTAGATGTGGAACATGGGGATGAAGCACAGAAAAACATCATTCTGAGCATTTGATACGTCCACTGACCATTTGAGTAGTTTCATAATAGATATGAAATTTGAATGTGTCAATACTACTCCTTTACTAGTTCCTGTTGTCCCTGAAGAGTAGAGAATTGCTGCTGTATCCGACTGAACCGGCTTAGCTACTGGAATGCATAAAGGATCACAATTCTCGACCAATTCTTGAATGGTAAGTGCATTATCATGTTCTTTACTGTAGGAAGTAACAAGAGTAGGCACTCCGGTGGGCACTAACTTGTGCATCTCTTCTGGTGAAGCAATAGCAAGTTTTGCCCCGGAATCCCGTACTTGTTTGGCAATTTCTGCTACAGTGTTGAGTGGATTGGCTGTGGTCAGAACTGCTCCAATGGAGAGTACAGCGAGACATATGGTCGGGTACAATAGCGAGTTTGGCGATAAGACAAACACAACATCACCTTTCTTCACACCGAGTCCATGATACAATCCGGCAGCAAGCGCCCTAATAGACCGATCAAGTTGAGCGTAGGTAACTCGTTCATGAGTGGTGGAATCAATGAGTGCTGCTCGGGATTCAGCTTGGTCAAGAGGAGGGAACTGCGATAGCACATATGTGGCTGTGTCAAGATTAGGCTGAGTAGGGATCCTGTCATCTTCACTCAAATGAACGAGGGAATGGTAGATTCCGGTTTCTGAATTGAACCCGGATTTTTTATCAAACACTTGTGCAAGACTAATGGATTCTTCTTCAATGGTAGCCATCGAGCCCTCTTCACTTTGGAAATTTTGAACTAAATCTTGGATAAATAAGCTGTATTTTTTGGTTTGTAATTCATAGTTAATTCCGCTGTTTTAAAGGTATGTTTTGGGCATTTTTAGCGAACATAGTTGCCGGCTATAACAATGTGACCAAGTCATGGCACCTCATTTTCACATTTAATTCCTTAACTTTTGTCTTGTTTATAATACGACATATGGGGCATCACTTTCTTATAAGGTTTCGATGATTTTAACGATTTATAAAAATTTGCCGACCTGATTTCTTGCATAATATATAATCTAATTGACAAGAATATTTTGTTTTCTGAGTAATGTTTTTTGGTAGGACTGGGAACTGTATAGCTGTTACAAACGCGTATTTAGTTAAATGAATTCTGGAATTAGCCTCAACAATAAGCTAAAATAACGATGTCGCGGGATACATTTATTTACTTAGATTTTGTTTTGATATGCCAACTCATTATGCGCAATTCATTTTTTCATCTATCGCATGATTATATGGAACGAATGTCTTCCTCTTTTTTTTTTGAAACAAATATCATTTACAGCGCAATAGCAAACAGTACACGGAGGAACACCTCCTACACAATGCCCTACAAAGAGGGGTTAAGTGCGACCAAAGCCGAAGCTCAAGCTATTACAAAGGCCAGAACGACCAACGTGACACAATCAGCACAAAGCGAAACTACACAATGCCCTACAAAGAGGGGTTAAGTGCGACCAAAGCCGAAGCTCAATCTATAACAAATGCCAGAACGACCTACGTGACACAATCAGCACAAAGCTAAACTAAAAGACCTAAACCACACGGCCCCAAACCACAACAAGAGCCAAAAAACCACAACATTGGCAACCTTCCAGAAACCCGGTCTTCATCAACCATCGAGACACATCAGCCCTTCACCATCATAGTGAGCGAAGATCCAAAATAACCAGAATAATCACCACACAACCAAAAATCCACCAACCCCACAAACACCACCAACCAGGACCACCACCCAAAACCATCCCGTGATCAACGACCACAACCCCCAGACGACCGACACGACCACAACGAAACACCACCAAACGCCAGCCCCAGCCACCTCTGAAGAACCAACCAAAAACGGCCCGCCGGCAAACCCCAAACCGCCGCAGCACCCCTGCTCTCACGAGCACCACGAAAAAAAACAACCGCCACCAATCACCGACCCAGGCCCACGCTGAAGAACCAGCCAAAACGCCCGCCGGCAGAACCCCCACAGTAGCGCCCCCGTCTGCTTCGGCCACCTGAGATCGCAACGAACGAAGCCAAGCCTCACACCAACAGCCAAGCCTCGCTCGCCCCTCTCTCCAACCAAAGCACACACAGACACCACCACCAAAGATCCGCCAACCTCACCACCACCCCGCCCTACCGCACCTGCAAAAAGGCGGATCCTCGGGCAACAACAGACATAAACACAAAGGAAAACGGACAAAAGAAAAGGGGGAAGAGAAAAGGGGAAAGGGGGAAGGAGAGGAAAGGAAAGGAAAAAAGGGGAAAAAGGTGGGAGCCAAAGCTCCCACTCCCCCGCGAGCGCACAAGAGGAACCAAGGGAAAGATCCTTCACCGGAGGAAGGAGAGAAACCGTCACTGCGGCGGAGAGAAAACTTCACCCCGAAAAGGGGAAGACTTATCTACTTTTGCAACCTAACTTTTGAATGTCTTCCTCTTGTTGCTTGAATTTTTAGATATGATACCAAAGCATATACAAAATTAAGATTCAAGATTTGCAGTCATTTATTTATAAAAGTTATGTCAGTGTTTAACTTCGTAAATCTGCCCGAACGCAGACTGCAAAGTGTAGTTCAATGGATAGTTGGTCGACCATCCACGTGGTTGATCAAAACTGTACTTGTCTTTGGCTCAGTGAACTAGATTTTTGAATCATGGTATATGAATATCAAGGTTGACATAATGTTATATGAAATTTTATTATTGGACAGTTTGAAACACTGTCAACTTTTTTATTCAATCATCTACTGTCACATGCAATTATGTCAAACTTTCTGTCAAATCCTTCTGATAAAAGTAGTTATATCCTTGATTTTTATCACAATCATGCTTGGTGGACATTTTGATAAATGTTACGTAGTGTTGACCTCGAAAAATGGCTC